AAGCAGAAGAAGCCAAATCTCACCCTACCTAAATATTCAATGAATGCATTGAATGCTTGGGCACCATTATTCCTAGAATTAAGAGACAACAATAAAAGTTAAAACTAGAAAATAAGAAACAGAAAGCTCCTATCTCTGCTGAAATCACAGTGAATGGAGACCTGCGCTGGAACCAGGAATCTGACCAGCATCCAGAGGACAGCTTGTGAAAATCATCAAAACTGGATTAAGAGATGCTGACTGTGTGAGGAAAGAGAGACACAATGGAAAAATAAAGCCTGTTATTTCTGCTGTACACTCTTGGGTTGCTTTTCAAGCAGAGTCTATGGGAACTTCCTGATTTCATTAAATAGATCAGAGACCTAAAAAATAGTTTTGGTGCAGGCACAAAATACCTTTTGTCCAATATTTAGATTCTCAAAGCATTTGTGTGCAGAATGAATATCCTATTGATAATGTTATCAAGGAAAACTTAATAAAATTGATTAACAATAAGTTGTGTGCATGATAATAAAACTCACAGTTATGTTAATAAAAATAAAAATACAGTAATATAAAAATAGTATGGTACTTACTTTGTTTTAACAAACCTGCAGTGAAAAACGTAAGAAACATAATCCTGTCCTATGACTCTTCTACTAGAAAGCAAGCAGCATAAGGCTGCCTGTCAGTCAAGCCTATCATGAGACACACTGTACTATTTCTGTTTGACTTCAATCAGATATTAATATCTGGTTAATCAAGGGTTATTCATTTATTGAGCATATGTAGCTGACTTACACTACTTTACATACAGTCTTTTCAGCCCAGGTAAAACTAATGCTGATGCTTTCAAAATTGTGTCTGGATGATGTTTGAAGTTGCTAACAGTTTATGTTTACAGGTTCTCATGTATAACTCAGAGGAGATTAATTTAAGAGAAATCATTCTCTGCAATGTTTTCAATCACATTATACACAATACCAAGCTCTCCTTCTACCACCTGCAAAATTATTTTAAATTTGATCACTTCTTTAAATTTCAGATGCTGAGAGTGATACATGCAAAAAAACTGCTCCATCTTGATTTGTTCAATCAATCTTGGATCTTGTGCCATCACTCTATTGACCAGAATTCATTCTTTCCAACACTACAAAAAAAAAATCACACTCTTGCCTAGACAGTTCAATTCGGAACCAATTTGTTGAACAAACACATTCATTGAATTAATTCAGGTGGGGAGCTGCATTAGCATGCGAAGGCCGCAAAGGATAAGCAAAGGATAAGCAAAGGATAAGCACAATTACAGCATTTGAAATGAATTGTATGTCTCTTACTTTACAGTGTGAACATTTTTTCTTTCCAAAACCACACAAAAATCACACTTTTGCCTAGATAGCTCATATCTGCACTGATTTGTTGATCAAACACAGTTCTGACAGAGGTGTTGTTAGATGCTCGATACCTGGCTCTATGTCCACAATACTTGTAGAGTAGTTACAAGACCCTAAGCGTAGCCACAAGTTTTCTGTTTTTAACTTCCATCCATCCATTTCTTAACCACTTCATGAAATTGAGCGTCATTGGGGAGCTAGTGAAGAGAATCCCAGCAAGCAAATAAGCTCAAGGCAGTATATACCCTGGGATTTTTTATCTTCTTAACTGAGAAGACATTTAACCTAAAAAAAAAGTATGTAACACTAAGTGTCTTAAAAAGCAATGCTTGAACTGAATTCTTTCTTCTAATCAGCAGCACATGAAAAGTACAGCTTTTCCCACTATACATGGCCAGGGCCTGGCACACAGATGGAACCAGCTGCTGTCTTCAAGAAGGAGCACAGCGTCCTGCAAGGAGTTTTTAAATGCAGAAAGTGAATAAAGGCAAACTGACAGTGCTGTTCCACCGCACATCTCCCTTATATCTAATCAATATTATAGAATGTTCGCCTCCGCTCTGCAGGGCAACTGCATTTAAAACAGAGCGCACACCACGGCCAGGCAGGAAAGGACACATTCTTCCAGACATCTGCTAAAGGGACACACCTGCTAAGTTTGAACTTTAAAGCAATACCACACCCCTGATCCTTTCTGTAGATAATGCATTTTCCCTATGAATTCCTTTATTCACTTAGCACCTTTGTGGCACAGATAAACTGTAGCTGCCTTTCAAATTAGAAACTGCATTGCTTTAGAACTCTGAACATTTTTATAGTTAAAAACTACGTCTTCGATTTGGACTGACCCAAAGGGCTCATGCAGAGAGGGAAAGCTGAGGATTACAAGCATGAAGGAAACAATACTGTTAACAAACAACAATCTCTTCTGTTTCACTCAAAAAGCCTAATGTTGAGAAGACTACAGAGCCACCTTAGCCCCTTTCTGAAAAGGTCTTTGCTTTCTCCAGCCAGGTCTTTCAGCTAAAACACACAGCAAAGAAACAAGTCTCAGTGAAAATCCTGATCAGTAACCTGGACTGGAAAGATCCCAACACATCAAGCTGTTAAAATTAATATTAACATAATGCGGGTAAGGCAATCCTAGACTACTACTAATCCACGTGATTGAAAGCAGTATTAATTTCTTCTCTTTTACGAAGAAGGTACTGCTTTCTTTAGACTATCATGGCTCCCACACCATCTTCCCAATTTATGTAAGCAATAAAGAAAATCACAGTCTACATCGGACAATACCCATTACCCAGACCTCGGTTCACAATAGCATATTTCACATGTTGTATTAATTAGGTAGCTGAAGGAACACATTTATCTCTTGCTTTCCAAATGCAAATTCAACAGCTAAACGATGAATCAATCAATTGCTCCTCAGAAGCGGCTGTGTATCTTTGTCATTAACGCGCTCATGGACATCGTACAGTTGTCTGTTTAGAA